CCGATGCTCGCCGATGCTCATATTTCGAGCTTGGGTACCTGTGGCATAAATAACTATAAGCGCAAAAAACTAATAACAAATGGTAAACGCCGAATAAATCTGGAACGTAGAAAATAGCTCAGGCAGCTAAGCCATAGAACCGCGTTATGACTAATTCCAAATGACAGGGTGAAAGCGGCCGTCTTCCGTTTAAGAGCACCCAAGTGTGTACATCGCGGACTGAGCCATGAACATTCCAAATTCGAACCGGAAAAATTGATGATAAAAGCACGTGCCGTGTTTACTGGCAATGGAAGCTTAACACTAACATCGCTTTAAAATGCCAAGAGAATAAAAGACGAGAAAACAAAAGGCGCCCAAGGAAATAGAACACTAGGAACACTAAATGGAGAGCAAAATGTGAAAGACACCATGAAACTAGAGTGAAAGCGACACACGCCGTAAAACCAACCTAAAGGCTACAAATGCTGTGAAAACAACCTGAAGGCGACACACGCCATGAAAACAACTTATAAGCGACGCACGCTAGAAATGGCTAACTGGAAGGCGACACACGCCGTGAAAACAACCTGAAGGCGACGCACTCCATGAAAACAACTTATGAGCGACAAACGCTCTAAACACAGAATGGAGAGCAAAATACGAAAGACACATTGAAACTAGTGAAAACGACTCACGCCAGAAATGGCTAACTGGAAGGCGAGAAAACCCCCGGGGCACTTGGGTATTTTTTGGGTGGGTATGTGCCGCCCGAGACTCCAAATTGGCACCCCGTTCTAGAAAAAATTTCCCCTAAAATTGATACCCCTTTCTAAAAATGGGCCAATTTTGTATACCCCGTTCTAGAATTCGCCCTAAAACTGATACCCCGTTCTAGAAATGGGCCAATTTTTTATACCCCTTTCTAGGGTGCGACAAGAGTACACCAGTTTGCTTGTTAACGCATTGAACCGTATTTTTAAAAGCAATCTGTCCATGAATACTTTCAAATGGCTGCTTACAAAAGTGGAGCTTTCGTGCGTTCGAAATATTATACCCCGTTCTAGAAAACGCCTCTGAAATGGATATCCCGGTCTAAATCAGGAGCTTCAAAATCACGACCCCTTTGAGCGGCACATACCCTTATAGGTTATGTCTGGGAAAACCAACCTGAAGGCGACACACGCCATAACAACTGAAGGCGACGTACGCTATAAAACAACTCGAAGCGGCACACGCTATGAAAATGAAATGGACAATGATACCCGCCATGAAATCCAGTCTGAAAGCGACCCACACTATAAAAGGTAACTCGAAGGAGGTATCACAGCCGGGCGAACGGCTTCCAGAAAATAAGGAAGGCTTCCGACAGGAACCGCGGCCATGCTCAGCGACGAAAGCCGGAACGGCACAAAAAACGAAAGTATATATGCACTCTCGGGGCATGAACGGATAGAAAAGCGATCTGATCAGTGATCCTGATGTTGGCAAAGCATTTAAATACTACGCTCAATACCCAGGGGTAATGCAAAGGTCCCAGGGGGGAACGTGCCCATTTCGGAGCAAACATATCAATGAAAATAGTGGGCTGCCACTCTGACGCTTGCAACTAATTATGATTGGCACGTGTTAATCAAATATAGTGGCAGCTAGACAAAATCCTAAGCTTTTATTGGTTAGTATAGACTGAAAATGGATAGATTGACAGTTACTTAAGAGTGTGTCCATGAGAGAACCAGGCAGGGGGTGATGATGCTCAAATCACGGATTTGGCTCAAACTTGGCACAATTGTTGGGTGTGTTGAGATAATTAACCCGACAAAAAATTAGGTCCAAATATTGAAACCCCTGGGAGACACAGGGACCCCCCCTAAAAAAACAGAAAATCTGCTCATTTTTGCATAATTAATTAGCTAACTTTGGTTTGGCTGTTCCACAAGTAGAAAAGACAGTTCCAAATCTAATCAAGTTGGTAATGCTCTATGTTCATCGGGCTTAATGCTCAGTAATTGATTTTTAGTCTCCAATACAATTTCTTCCAGTTCTTGACCCTAAAGTATGAGCAACATCTTACAGTTTTGACCAAACCCTAAATTTAAGGTATTTTAACGGCAAAAATCTCCCATGAGCAACAACCTACGTACATTATTTTCACGTAGTCTTTGAAAGACATCTTAAAGGTTGTCAAAATAATCATTAAATTTTTGGGCAATTTCATACTTTATCATTGTTGATGTATTTTGTACGTATGACTTCACGTTGTTATGTCATTTAACCAAAACTGTTTGATGAAACGTGATATCGAGTTGTGTAAATAAAAATGACGCAAAGCCGGTGAGAAATCGCTAGAAGGATGCCTCGTTTTCGATACTTATAGCAGAATTGTTTGAAAGTATCAACTGAGGCACATTTCCTGTGTATTTATGAACGTGTAATACCTATAATATTTGAACCCATGAGTAAATACAAAGTCAAAGATTTAATTCATAACTTCAATCAGTCTGACTTGTAAGTGCAACAAGAACCAACGAGGGTTGGAAAATATTGAATAAATGTTACATACATGTCTCTCAGATGCTTTAGTCAAGATTTTCTGTCCAGTATCGTCTGCTGCGTGACGTCGAGAATTACGAGGAATCGAAAATCGATACATCCCAAAAGCACCTGTCATTCACCAAACCGAATAGAAAATTACCGTTCTATTACAGAGCTTCTTAAACTGACGCTGTAAGGTTACGAAGGATCGATGACAGTCGGCCAATAACTACTGAGATGAAAAAAATCTCAAAAATCCTTTATCTCCCTCCTTTAATTTGATTTTGAAAATAATTTAGAGCCTGTTATTGCGGTCAGCGGTGGCCATAGGATTCTCCCCGCGGTTTCGCGCGCATTTCCTTTCCACGTGTAAAATAGGCCAGGGTGGAAATTATGCTAAAGTGCTCAATTGGGAGTAAAGTTAACACAGACTGTGGGTTTTCGGCCAGGTACCCCTTGATAAAGGAAGTCATACCAGTTTTGTCGTGTACGAGAGATGTTAGAGTGCACTTAAAGAAGGTCAAAGTGTCCAGTTCTTCGGTATTGTCAGAAGCAGAATTAATTTTATTAAGAGCTGGAATTTTCGACAAAGAGGGGGAAGGGGTGACCGTGTGCCCAAAACATCGTGATTGTCTTGGCCTTTCATGGCGCCCCTCGCGTTTATGTAAACATCCTATGCATCCTGAAGGAAGGAAACTAACATGCGATAGAGGCGTCTCTAAAAAGACCTCAGTGGACGTCATGAGAAGATGGAATACTTTACTTCCCATCGGTTCAGGTAAGCTGATTTTAAAATACTATCTGCCTTAAATTTCAATGCTATTTTAAGTTGCATTTCTATAGAAAAATTAATATTCTGGCAAAGTTAGTTATCCGAATTACAGCATTTTTTCCAAACTTCGAGCGATCTTTGGCAAATGCATATAAGGTATCTTATTACGATATGCAAACAACACACACTTTTGCGTTGTTACTGCTAATTCAATTACTGTAGATTAGTATGATACCGGCGCTGGTCACATTCAAGAACTTTCTGGAACTCTAGGCCATTACAAAACGCCACTTCAGTCAGAAGTTGAAACGTGATTTAGGCACTGCAGAGCGGAGTTTGCTTTCACATTTAATACATACTAACCCCTTTACAAGATTCCTTGACATTTTGTTCTAGGAGCACTCGTTTTTGTAAATACATGCCTCGGCAAAAATCAGTTAATTAAATTATTTCATTTCGGACGTTGGGAATAGAACCTTTGCTTCACTTATAGATTTTCTCGTAACAAAAAGTAAACATTTTAAAAACATCTTTGGTGAAGGCTTGTCTCAATTTCCAGTTTGCTCACGTACTAGAGCTCTGATGTCGTGGAATGAAAATTCGTCGCTTGTTCGAGGAGGCTCATAACGGCATATTTATTTTCTCTGATTAGTAATCAAGACTACTACCCCTTTATATTAATTGCAAGCACTTCGTCCAGGGATTGACAAATCTTGTATAACATGTTAGGGTGGCAACGGTGTAAGACTCTGGCCTCGTTTTATTTTATAAAACCTAGGAATATGTAGACAATGTCGAGAACACCACAGAGAGGTAGAACAATTGGATATGGAAGGACGCACTCTTTCTACATGTCCTATACAGCAACTGGTATGTGTCAACTTTAGCCGCTGAAGCGGCTTAGATTGAAACCTTGGGAGAATACGCACTCAAAAACCCCTATTTCGTAGTTTAACAATTGAGCACCCGAAAAAGGTGAAGGCAATTGGAAGTGCATTTGACAGATTTGCTGACGATGATGTTTGTCGGCGGTCTTGATGGGACGCGAGACAGGAGGAGACGAGTATTAAGGCGAGTAAGAGTGGGTGTGGCACACGCGAGAGAAAAAAACAAACCTTTATCCTCGATTTTTACACCAGGGTCGACGGATTATCAGACCGATTACTCGCCTTATAGTGGCTGAGAAAAGGAATGATTTCCTCTCTGGACGAATAACCTGTATTTATTTATTTATTTTGAAAATTGTTTATCCTTGCATTTAAAATTTTGAAAACGGAATGTTCGTCTCTAGAGTGAGAACAGCCAATTACCATGACTATGACTGCCTATTACTACTAGGGACTTAAGAAAAAACACAAAATATCATGTTCAATATGGTCTAAGCATTTTTTGAAAATACAAAAATCAATATGATTTTAGGCTAATAAATGTTTTACTGAAAATATTTAAAAAATGAAAAAGATAAAAAGATGGGTTCAAAACTGTTTTATCAGCAATCCCGTTACAGAATTCAAACCCTTTCTTTTAAAAAAATCTACCAAAAACCTTACAACCCTACTTTTTTTATTTATTCCTTAAATGGTTTATCATCACAGGAGTCAGTAAGCCTTGAAGAGGAATTTTCAGGTGCATCACTATGCAGGACACACGAAGAGATTGGGGAATTCAAAGAAGGGGTAACGAAGTTTATTTGCATGTTAATTCAATTACATCGGCTGCAACTGGATCATTTTCTCTTGCTTTTACCTGAAAATCTTTGAATGTATCCCAAACTGTTGCAGTGGATAAAAAAATTGATCATTTCTTTTTCATAATTCATTCGCTCACAGGAATTGGCTAGCCCTCAAAACAAAGAATGCATAACGAAGCTGAAATACGAAGGAAGTCCACAGCAGGAAGAGACGGTAATACTATTTTGCCCTATTATTAAACAGTGAGATAGAACTTCCAAATCGTCTTCACGCAGATGAATCATTGTATACTTGAAAATTAAATGAAATCACATTATGGCACAATTTCTTTTTAGATTTCGGACAGCGTTAACCTAACGGGTGGCGATACTCTCTGTAAAACCAGTTTATCTGAAAGTTTTGAACCTCCGGATTCGGAACCAGAACAAGACTCCATTTGCAGTCTTAACACGCCTGGCGGAAAAGAATGGATGCCTACACCAGAGGTCAAGGCAAACCTGTCTTCATTAAACACATTCATTACACGCGTTACCGCCCGTGAAGTAAGCCCGGTGAGAGGTCAGTTACATAGCCCTTTGAGTGACGTTGCAAACAGTACATCTCGATATTACAAGAGAAAATCACAGCAAGTGTGTGAGGCAGTCTTGGACTGTATTGCACCAGGGCAATCTCAAGTTCTTTTTCAACTCATGACCAGCGATAAAATTTCTTATATTAAACGTTCCTCTAGCCTAAATGAACAAAAGATTCTTCAGAAACTTTTGATTCTTTATGATGAATCAAACTCTTGGTTTACCAAGCAGGAAATTCTCTCAATATTTGTACAGGATTATTCCAAGTCTCAGCTTAAGGAAATGATTCCAGGTTTGAGCAAATGGCGTATTGATCAGGCTCGAAAGCATGCCGCGCTCGTTGGACCAGGACGGCCGAAAGACCCACCTGAGATACGTCGCACACGCTTAGATCCTGTAAGGGTGGACCACTTCATTGATTTTATAGCTAGTCCTCATTATTTGCAAGACGTTGCATTTGGTACCAAGGTTCTGAAACTTTCAAATGGCGAGCATATGGAAATCCCCAATGTTGTACGGACAGTTACAGCAACAAGGCTAGTGAACCGTTTTGTAAAGAAGAGGAATTTATGCCACTGGGAAGGTCAACGCTGTTCACCATGCTTAAGGTACATCCCTATAACAATTGATTTGTACCTTAAAGACGGGTATGTTTAGGATCGGAGCTGGTTTTTTTAGACTTTTCTAAGTATGTTCAGGTTGTCGCATGCCGAACACTAAGAGAATTGTGTTCCTTTTCCAGAGTACACAATATAGTGAAATTACCTTTGGTGTACATAGAAGAAACGAAAACTCATTTTTGCTCAATTTATGGACTACGTACTTGAACACGCTTTGTAGGAACGTACCTTAGAGGTAATATTCTGGTTTTCCCCTCCAAAAAAAGAAAAAAAATACGTTTTTACTTGACCTTGGGAATAATGAGGGGAAAGTATGCTCTCAAACAAAAGGTTGTCTGATTTACATATTCAACGATAATAGTTATACGGGAACTAAATCCAAATATTCACGGAGTTGTGCATGAACGTTTCTCCTCGCCCTTCCCACTGACAGTAGAAAGCAACTAATGTTCATGGTATACTGTACTTATGCCAAGTTCCAACTTTGATGTTGTAAGCTTTGTGCGACATCCCAGAAGAAATCTCTTGCTGGCCTTGACAATATTACCACTGAAGGGATATCATCAATGCAGACATTACACGACGTTGCTTCACAGCTGGCCAAAACAGGTAGAGCACATCAAAAATAAACTTCTTAAAAACGTTTGACGCATCATGAAAGAGCACATTATTAGATTACGTGACGTACCGACAGTATTTCTCGCGGCCTGATGACGCGTGTTGTTTTCAGATGCGCAGCGCGATATACAGTGGTAAATGACTAGCCCGCATAATAGGTGCTTTATGGGCCAAGCGAAGCGAACGCAGCATTTTGCACGAAGCGCGAGACGAGGGGGGGAGAAACAATGGACTGGTTACAGGCGCTTTATTTTTCTCCTCCCCTCGTCTCGCTCTTCGCGCAAACTGCCGCGTTCACCTCGCTTGGTTATAAAGCGCATGTTATGCAGGCTAGTAAGTGACCGAAGGGGTCAGTAGAGGCGTGGGTGCGCTATTGTTTTCGCCATTATATTTGTGGCGATTGCAGGCTCAGAATGAGCAACAAAATACAAGTATCTAAATACCGTTTGCTTAACTATTCATCGATTTTAAAAAGCTAGATTTCTTGATAGAGTGGCGAGATAGAGTGAAAGACAGCCACTCTTACATTCTTACTTACGGTTTTCTTTTCAACAGGTAAATCAAATGCGTGGGCTAAGGAAATCCAAGAAAGACTGAAAAGTAGCAAACTCTACCTCAAAACAGATTACAAACTTCACATTGCTGAGGATAGCCGCTGTGCTGATCATTGTCGAAAGCACGCATTATCTGACGCGGAGCCAGAATTCCATGAGCCATGTCGTCACAAACATGATGTGACATGTGATCGCTGCGAAGTTCTGGAAAACACACTAACTGAAATTGAAGTAGCAATATCTTAAGAGAAAGCACAGCTGAGGTACGGTTCTCTCGCCAGTAAGGTTTTATAGATATCTTAATGAGTGTGTTAGTGGAAGATGGCCTGACCAGCCGGAGAAATTTATATTACGCACATCTGGGAACTGGTCGAGTTGCGCTATTTCTACATAAATTCTTTATAGGTAAGGGAAGCACCATTTAAAAATTGGGAACAGAAGGCGTAGGGATTTCAAGTTGCAAGTTTAATGCAAGACTTTTCATCCCGGTTACTCGCTCTCGAATTATGGTGCCTTGAATATTTGTTTTTACTTCGCACACCTTTCGCCGCTTTTAATGGTCCGTCTTTAATTTTCGTGATGTAATTTCTGTAATAATTCCGAACGTCGCGTATTTTTTTTGTGAGACGCATTTCTAGTCTATCCTGAGGACGCTGAAAATAGCTGACATGAGTGGATTTGTCGTTCATGCATTGCAAAATACAACATTTTTTTTTACTGAATTATTTCTTACTATAGTAAAGACCAACAAGAAGAGATAGCTCATGAAGTCGAGACAGCAATTAAAAAGATCCGTGACTGGAAAGCTCATTTAATGAGAACTGCACACCAAGACGCAGCCAAGTCTACTGTCCTTGAGAAACTGTCGTCCAGTCAAGTATTTATTATCATGGATTGGGCGATGAAGTTTTTGCCTGTAAGTTTTCGAGAAAGTCAATCAGAATGGTTTGGCAAAAAGGGAAAATCCTGGCATGTGTCTGCGGCAGTTACAAAATCTCCCGAAGAAGAACTTGAGGTATGGATCCCGATTAAGAATAATGATGTCGTAATATCTGATCATGGTATAGGTAAGGATAACAAACGATCAGTGAAGCTAGTGTTTGACGGGCAAAGCTTCCTTTTTCTTAGGTGTTTGATGCTCAACAGTTTAAAGTTAATTTTAAACAAAGGTTAACTAATTATAATTAGATAACACAAAACCAGCACCCATTGAATTGTAGTGCTGGGTTATCCTGCCTTGTTATTATCATTATCATTATCATTATTACTCATGCCAAATTTCACATTACAAAAAATTTTCATTGAGCCTATTTGAATTTTACAGAAATCAATTCTTGCTTTTTTACCTTACCTAGAGCGAACTGTTTTTCCTAGGTTAAGACGTTTGTCCACATCTTTGATCAGACTGCTCAAAACTGGTTCGCCGTCCCTTCGATGATCGAGCATGTCCTTGTTCAACTAAAGAAATCACGGCCAAGTTTAAAAGAGGCATTTTTGAGGTCTGATAATGCAGGGTGTTATCATTGCGGGCCCCTGATGCTAGCCGTTCCATCTATTTCAAAGAGAGTGGGTGTCACAATTAGGCGGTACGACTTTAGTGATCCACAGTCTGGGAAAGACATCTGCGACAGGCGAATTGCGACCATGAAAAGCCACATGCGTCGATATTTGAACGAAGGAAATGATATAAACACAGCATCTGATATGAAGAAGGCTCTGGACTCATATGGTGGTGTGAAGGGATGCCGCGTTGCTGTTGTCAGTGTGGACACGAGCCGACAAGAAATAGAACATCATAAGTGGACGGGCATCCAATCCTACAACAACTTCGAGTTCCTGCGAGGTGGTGTCAGAGTGTGGAAAGCGTACGGAATTGGCAAAGGAAAGTTGATACGTAACCAAGAGCTAAAACAGATGGCTAAGGAACAGGGGAAAACTGGTCTAGTTGTACACGAAGACTTCAGCAACCCAATAGCCGTGGGCCACAAGGTGGAGATAAGACCGAGAATGTCCTTGATACTGATTGTCAAGCCCCAAAGCCAGGATTTCCTTGCCCTGAAGTTGGCTGTGTGAAAGTATTTGTTTCGAGTAATACCCTTGAGAAGCACCTGGACGCGGGCAAACACTTCTACTATATCCATAAAGAGGGTTCCTATGACGAAATTAAGTGCAAGTGGGTGTCGAGATGTATTGACGTTGGCAGCGTGAAGGAACTGACGTGCAAGACTACAGATTTAACAGACCAAGAAAGAGGAGTACTGCCAGCGGCCATCTCCATCTCCAAGAAAGGTTGGGCCAAGAAAAAGGCAAAAGCCGCAGTGCGTTTTTCTCCACCAGTTAAAGCCTTCCTTAATGATCTGTTCTTTAAGGGCGAAGAAACGGGCCAAAAGGCCAACCCGGCGGACGTTTCTTCCCAGCTCCACAGCGTACGCAACCCAGATGGAGTGAAAATGTTCAAAAAATCTGAATGGCTGACGGCACAGCAAGTCACAAGCTACTTCTCCCGCCTCAGCGTTTTGTACCGAAGTGGAAGATTCTCCAGAGATGCGGATGATAAAGATGTTGAAGAAATCGCCATGCTTGAAGAGGCACTATCGCGACAAAAAATTAATGAAAATATAACATCGAACTTGGAGCTTTAGAGTAAGCCTGGATCAGCTGGATAAGATCTAGAAGAGGGTCGGACGGCTCTGCTTTCGTTTTTTCAAGCAAAAATTTAAAAACATCGTTTTAACCAACCGCAATTTCCAGGGTCCTCTCCTACTCGTCCCCCGTAGCGAGGACAACTAGGAGAGGAGCCTGGGAACGAGGCTGCTTTTTATTCTCACCCTAATGTGAAATTGACTCATTAGAAAGGTTTTGCATGGTTGAAATGGTTATAAAGAGGCCAGTTAGAAGTTTTTCATTTAAGTCTTGATTTTTGCCTCCAAGTGCGAAAATTGAGTTTAAAAGATCTGATACCCAGAGAGGAAAAGCAAATAGTCAAAACAAATAGTTCGTATGAGAACTTTCACTGCTGTATATTTTGAATTAAACGGTTATATAAATATGAGTTTTCGCCGATCAAAGGCATCATCAGGGTTAAAATGTATATTTTTTTCAGTTTTATCACCGTAACTTCTGCAAACTTATTCCAATTTGTAAGCGGCATAGCCAGGGGTATTGTGGCCAACCGCTGACCAAAATTCTAGACTCCAAGTTATCGTTAAACACCAAAGATGGCGGGAGTTTTGTTGTTGTGGGAATCTTGATGAGGTGGCGGAAATACCTACCCATGGATTTTAAAATCATCTTCCGCTTTCTTCGCTAAATGGCCTCGTGAAAGAAACGACTTAGTTTGTATTTTGGTTTGAAAATGGATGATGGATATTGGTCGCATAACGAGTTTCGAAGCAATGGCCATGGCTTAGTGATGCGACACTGAACTGGAATCAAACACTGAATCAAAGCGAACATAAACTAGCAATTAAGGTGCTAACAGATATGTATGTCGAATTTGTGGACCTTTTCTGGGATTTTTGGGTCCTAAATACTAAAGCAAGTAAAACCGTAAACATAATATTTGAATGTTGTGTTTACTTAAAACGACCACATCGCATGGCTTTCAAAATCCTTGTGAGAGTTATTTGAGCGAAGCTTTCAAAGATGTTATCCTGGTTAACACAAAAAGGTAGGATACTGAGTTGTTTCTGTCGATTTCTCGTCACTGAGAGACAGTCAATAAAGAATTATAAGAACGCGGATTTTGGTGAAATTGGTAAAAGTCGTTTAGTAACGTGAACATCTTACGTCAGCACTTGGCGCAGAATAATTTGCCCAAACATTTTATGAATTTTTTTAAGACTCAAGTTATAGTTTTCACTACTCATGTAAGAATGATGATTGTAAGTTGTTGCTCATCAGAGATATTGGGGTTTAAAATACCTAAATTTTACGACTCGGTCAAAACTAGAAAAATTGCTCTAACTTAATGTGACTGAAAGGGAAGAAGTTAAAACGGCAAGTTTAAATAGTTTGTTGTGCTGTAAGTCTTATGAGCAAAGAACACCTGACAGTAGTTGTAATTTCCAGATGTCTCTTCTGTTTATTGCACTGGCATGGTAAAGTTAGCTAATTAATTATGCATAAAATAGGGAAAATGGCCATTTTTTCTTGGGGGGCGTATCTCCCATGAAATGAAATATTTTGACCTTATCTTTTGCCACCAGTAACAAGTTGTGATACCAAGCATTTGTGCCGAGTTTGAGCTAAATCGGTGATTTGAGCATTATCACCCCCTGCCTGGTTCTGCCTGGTTTTCTCATGGACACACTCTTAAGTTGGGTGGAGGGCGATATCTTCTGTAGTTTAGTAAAACGCGCATTCGGAGACGCACTTTCTTTAATATTCATCGTCCACCCGAGGTATCCTTTCAGCAGTAGTGGAAAATTGTACTGCCGCTTACAAAAATGAAGATCCTGTTCGGCCTCGCCTTTCTTCTTTGCATTTCAGTCGGTAAGTTAATTTAGTCCCGTTTGTATTTGTTTCTTCTTGTAAGGTAAGAGTAAGGCTTTAGGAACTTCGCTCTGCAGCTTCTCGTCGTTCCCTCTTTTAGCGGCGTGCTTGATCTTCTTTCCCTGAATAAAGGAGTGGGGCTCGATCGCCATCTTGCTATCACTATTCGCACAAATCGGACAAACATTATTGTTATTTTCTCTCAATTTATGATTTGTTTCGGTGCTTTAAACGTCATAACGCTCATAGTCTAATAAACCAGTATTTTACTAAAATTCCGAATTGACTACTGATATACAAAAATTTAGTAAAGTGCGTTCCATGCCACTTATTTCGGAAGCAGAACGCAAAGAATGATTCCATTAAGACTCCTGCATCAGAAATATCCTAATCTCTGAAGTTTAAAAGAAGTTTATATACAACTCTTAATCCAAAATGAGCATCAGAGTACTAAAGAGTTCAAATGTGGAAAAAACGAAATATGTATACTCAGTGAAAAACGCCTGATCAATTAAATGCATTTCATAGAATTTTACCATGTAACTTTCCCAGTCCCACACGTTAATTACGGGCGACAAGAGGAGCCCGCAATCTTAAGCTCCGGGCTGTTATTAAGCATGCGTCGCATTTCTGTAGCCAGCATTCGTTTGAACTTGCACTAAGAGTGAATGGAACGCACAGAACTCAATTTGATCACCCGCGATTGGACCTTCTATCACTCGTGATCTGATCACGCGTGTTTTGACCGACTATCACGTGAAACTTGCGCAAAGCACAGCGTCGGAGCAAAAGCGTTTTGACCCTCAATCGTTGTCACCAGCACTTTGTAACCTTTGGTTATTACTAGTTGATTGCCATTCAAATACAGTAAATTATAAAATGAACTTTTCGTGATGAAGCTCTCTCCCTTCCTTCATTCCTAGTATTCGAACAGAATGTAATCACAGATAAAGTCTAATCAAACGATAGCCCGCGATAGCTATCGAATAAAAACACTATAAAAGAGGACTGTGCAGTATACTTAAAAACCAGTATTTTAGATAATTAAGTAAAGAACTTAACAAATTTGAGAGTAAAACTCGTGGAAAGTCGTGCAGCGATCCGTTGAGTTCAACATAAAAAAATGTTATTCTTTTGGCATACTTAAAAACAATAAATAAGCGCCGATATTAATAACTATTACGTATTTATTCTTTTTAAAAACGTTTAAGGAAATTCAAATAAATTTCAGCTTGACAAAATTAATCCTTTAAAATGTTGCATTATTAACGTGCGGTGTGCTTAAGAAGGGCAGGGTTTTTCAGTAATGTCACAGCAAGCAAAGCCTTTGCATATCTGTGGTCAATAAACAAAACAGCAAACGTTTACATTTGCTCTGCCTTTTGAGATCAAGAACGTTTTTCATTATCTTTGCTGAAATGTTTTCTAAGTTCTTTTTGGAGAGATTTATACAGGAGACGAAAGAAATTTAAGAGCAAAAAAAGAAACAAACAAACAAACAAAAGGAGAAAAAAGCCAACACGATTTCATAAATTATAAATCATTTCCAATATTTTTTCAAGTTAACCTTTCGGTTAAATAGTTGTTAACGAAATAAAATTAACGAGAGGTTTGTTTAGGCTCATTTTCACCAGCAAAAGTGTTTCCAGTGCGCACCTTGCTACTGTTTTGTCAAAAATATGTTATATACCCCTTTATAACTAGCCAATAGTTTTTCTTTCTGATTCGATAAGTTATGGAAAAACTCTGAAGTTCGTGTTTCTTCTACTCTCTATTAGAGCTAAGACGGAAAAATGGCAGGTTAGGCTTGCTCTAGTTCAGAGACTGAGCAACTGCCGAAGATGGTTTTTCATACGCTCTTTGCACCAGAGCAAGACTGAATTAAACTATTTAGATTCAGCACGAAATTTTGGTGGCCTAGATTTGTAGTCTAGTATGTAATCTATCAGTAAATCTGATTGCAATAGTTGGATAGTGGAAGAAAGAAGAGAAACCTCTGTCAGTGAATTTTTTTTGTTCTTACAGTTCTCATAGTGAAACCTAGCGAAACAAAGCAAGACGAATAACAGAAATTAATAGCCGATCATGCAAGGAAAAATGAAGATAAATATCAAAATGTTCCTTTAATGCTGACACTGATATGAGATGCCCGGCTGATCACATGTTGATAAGCCGTCGTTCATTTCTGTTTACGTTTGAACCATGTAAACATTGGAATGAAAAAACTGTTCTACTTCGAAAGAGCATCTTCTTTTGTTCATAGCAAAAAATATAAGAAAAATTACAAAACTATAAACGAGAAATGAATGAAGTATGAAATAATCTACCTTTGCTTTAAATGGGAACCTTAAATATTCAGAATACACCTTAAAAATCGCCAAAATGTGAGGATGGTTTGAAAATCCTTTTGTAAACGATACTTGTTTAGATCCCAGACCTCTCCCGTCTTTGCGCATGCGCAGACGTTATTCAGCTCTGTCATGAAATACTAGAAAACAAGTGTTTGAACGCGACGACAATTGCCACTCCATTTCTTACGCGATTTTCCGCCAAGAAAAACGCGGGTTGCGCAAATGCATCGCACGATTTCCCGCCAAGAAAATATAACAGACACCTCCCCCCGACGGGCTGACACCTGATTCCCTTCCCTTCCCCCGCCCCCCAAAGAGTGTACGGGCTGGCGTACTACGCTGACGTCACAACCAAAATTTCCCGGATGTATGGTTTACCAAATATTCTTAGCTATGGGGCTCCGCTCGGGCGCGCGAGGGCGCCAGGAGCTGCCATATAACTTTCCCAGTCCAAACGTTAATAGCTCACTTCGGAAAAGAGTGATAGCCTGGGACACAAACTTAGCGCACGCATTTGTGGGATTACTTGGGGACGCAAATGTAAACAAACATGGCGGAAAGCGAAGTGGAATGTTTCAACAGGGTTAAAACAGCCCAAAATAGCAAAACGGAAGGTGGAATTGAAAAAAAAAAAAAAAGAAAAAAAAAAAAAAACAATAAAATGTGAAGCTGAAGGAAGAGGATGTGCCTGGGGCAACTTTTAGTTCGAGAAAAACCAGAAGAATGCACCGTGAAACAGCTCCAGAGATGGCTTCTTTGCCGTGCAGCCAAAACAACCGGAAAGAAAACCCAGTTCGGACAATGGTAAGTACGCGCGGACTGGGAAGTTCCTGAAGTTATTTGTGCACAAAAAACACATGTCAACAAGTTGTATGTCTCTTCATAATTCAAGGTGGCTGCTCGACTTGTTCCCCCAAACCATCCCAAAAATGAAATGGATTTTAAGAAAGTTTTTGTTAGCGTTCTAATCTAAGTGACGATGACATATTTCTGCGTATGCAGCAAAATAACATATTTTGGTCTAAAATAGGGCCAGGATTCGGAGAACAGGGCGGCACATCCCCACCAAGAACTCCCAGGGATATCCCTCGGGGGCTATCCCTTCGTCGGAGCGAATCCTGTTGTCTCATCGCAATATCAAAGACCTTCAGGTTCGTCAAAAATATTGCAGTACTAATCTTATTTTCAACAGTGTGCGATATGTGATGAAACACTGTCTAGTTTTTGATATAATGCTTTTTCATAATTTTCTCATTTGCTCTGTAGGTCGGCTTGCTCAAGTACAGTAGAACAGTCACTCGACGAAGAATCCCATCTTTTAACAGAGGAAGATATTGATAAGTTATCAATCATTTACGGCTTTTACATATTTTGAGAGAGAACAATTTGCTGTCTGTTTTCTTTGAATAGACTATTTGTTTTGCAGTGTGCTCTGAATCGCTATATTCTCATTGTCGTGTGGTAATATATGGTGAACTGTCAAGTTTTGAACTATAGAAAAGCTATGTTCTCTGGGGTTTCCTTCAGTTTTGCTGGGAACATACCTGCCCTTTTGAGGTGGGTTAAAAACGAGTTGCCCTCGTTTGTAACGAGGGTGCCAACTCCACAACCCTTAACAGATGGGATATGATTACTGCTTTGCTACGTTACTTTATTTAATTGTTATTTTACATATCACAGTTCAAGTGTTACGACACGGGGCCTAAAATTTTCCTTCTTCATCTGAGAATACTATAAATTTTAACTGATTGCAAAACCAGAGCGAAGGCAGCGCATTTTCCTCAGTTATCTCAATTGCGACCCTGAGGCTGGTGCGGCCGAGAACGCGGGCTTACCTCGCCCTAGTTGCTAATAAGGTGGATAGTGCTGTGCACCGAATAAATTACTATCCAGTGGTTAGCGTAATTGGATTTCAAAATACCTGTCCGGTGGATAGCGCTATCTGGCCTTTTCTAGGCGTTTAGATAGTTAGATAGTGTAGTGCGGCGCTAAGGAGTCAAAGAGCGGGGGAAAAATAAGGAGGATGAGAGGGGGATAGGAGTGAACTCTTTCGCTCTTACCCCCTACCCCACCCTTTCGCTGTTTATCCTGTTAGCATCTACGCCATTCACACAATCTGAACTGGAACAGGCTGACGGCTATCAAACGTTTGAATAACAGGAGCCAAAATTCTGCTTGCAAGTCCGCCCATGTCATATCTTCTTTTAATCATTTTCTTTTAGCTTTCAGGGCATGTCCCATCATCCACCTGGATACTGGTCTATAGTTCAAATCAACATGGTATGAGCCTGAATATGCTCTATCACAGGCTGAGAGACGTGGAAACTCTTGTTCTATTGGTAGTAAAGGATCAAGAGGGATTTGTAAATGAGCTCTATTTATATAGTGTCATCTGGAACCGATTTTCGTGTTAATCATAACTATAACAAAATTCTCAAATCTGATTGCCTATCAACTGACGGTGTAATAGAACAGTACTGCCTAAGTAATTGGACAGTACGCACCATCGCGGGCGCCCTTAAATAGCTTTGTTTTCACTGCTAGCAGACAACTCTAGGAATTTCTTTGTGTTCTAATTTACTTGTGATTAAACAAATCGGACTACGACGTTAATCACTCGTGTGATTGCAGAACGAATTGGACTCCATTTAGTCCTATGACCTTTATTGATTAATGTACATTAGCATTTAGGAGTTTTTTTTTTTCATCACTCTTTCCTAATTTCCAATACTTTTTCTTTTTGTTGGTCTTTTAGTACACTTTGTTTGATGAAAAACCTTGCATTATATGTCATCATTGGAATATGCCGGTCGAAATGTCTTCCTCAAGCTATAATTATACTAGCGGAGAAATGTTTCCGGATTTATTGCATTTATCTATGGGGTATTCGGACTTTTAGGCGCTTACACAAACACAGCCAATTGGAAAAAATTAACTCGCACTGTTCACTTTAGTTTACGGATTCATATTTTTGGGCACGCGACCAAACTCGGGTGTTTGTATCTCGGGTTCAGGCAGTCCAACTAGCATATACCTAGCTTCAAGCCTTATGCATGTATCCCTGACCTATTTGACGAAATCGCTCTCATGTTTCGCCTTCTTCGAACGATTTCTGTCTCCTGCACAACATTTACATCATAGGTAACTTTCCACAAAAGTGAACAGATCGCAAGAGATACAGATAGTGGGTCCCTCCACCACAAACGTACACGGTTAATTTAGGGCGTCTATATTTCCAGTATCATACATTTTGAAAGTGAAATCCAGTTCTTTTTGTTGACATTTGTTTATTAGGTGTTTGGTGTATTTTCTCCAATTTCTCCTCGGATGGACGTTAGTTTCTGTAGGTTTGGAAAATCATATTTCTTCACCTGTAGACCACAGTTCAAGGTAAGCTTAGCGATAACACCGAAAACTATATATATTGTCCAGTGTTTCATCTCAGTGGTGGACGACCAGCCCTTTCTACCAGTGTTTTTTCTTCACCTACACACGAGACCATTTAGAAGTTTTTCAGTTTATCCAAGCAGTGTACAGGACGCTTGTCAATGAATCTACTGACCGACTTAGCTCTCAACCGACTTTTCCCATAAAGTAAATTGGTGGTATGGTCTTTGAGGGCTCAGAAGTTTTCCTTGTCCCAATTGCTATTTTTCTCCTGCACCACGTAGTGTGATTCTTTAAAAACGCGAGATAGATATTAACCTCTTGTGAAGGAATCCAAGACAGTCTCGGATTCTGGATTCTGGATTCCGGATTCTTTGTCAATGGAACTTGGATTCCGGATTCCAATGGTCAGAGCGATTCCGGTTTCCTTGAGCTGTAATTTCGGATTCCAAAACCCAGGATTCCAGATTCCACCAAATAAAACTCCCGAATTCCGGATTTCAGAAGCAAACATTCCTTGGATTCTGGAATCCGGATTCCCTTACCTGGTTGAAAAGTTATGTTCATTATCGGGGCCCACGTAGTCTTACCCTGGGTTCCAGAGGATATTTTTTTCTTATCGATATAAATGTTTCGCGGCGAAGCCGCTTCAACAAGGCGCGAAGTGCCAAGAGACGTCGACGAGCGCCGAAAGAAACAAAAGTCCGTCTCGGGAGCCTTAACAAACCGTAAGCACGGTTTATTTCATCGTACACTGTAATTTTTAGGGAGTTATTATAACTCCAAAAATGGAGTAAAAATTTTAGGTACAGGATAACCCCTTTTTTGGGGTTATTTTAACTCCTAATTTAACTCCGAATTTGGGGTCATTTTTACTCCTGAAAAAGAGTTCTTTTTACTCCCAGTCTTGGAGTTAAAATTACTCCGAAATGGGGTTACTTGTACTCCTTACAGGGGTTGTTTTTACTCTTTTTGGAGTTAATTTAACTCTGAAAGTGGAGTAAAAATTTTAGGTACAGGATAACTCCTTTTTTGGGGTTATTTTAACTCCTCAATATCTGGGGTCACTTTTACTCCTGAAAAAGAGTTCTTTAAACTCCTTTTTGGAGTTAAAATAACTCCACGAAAAATAACTCCACTGTAAGGAGTTAAATTAGCCCCACTAGAGGAGTTATTATAACTCCCTGAAAATTACAGTGTATAGTTTTCAGTAAGTCTCTAATTGCCCCCAATACAACAAAAACAATGCAAATCAGTATTTTATTTCATCTGAAAAATACTGTACAGTAAAACATGCACGTGTCACTCATTATTATGTCAGGATAGTGACACAGAGGAGAGGCACAGATAAGCACCAGAATTCTTCAGGCTAAGATTTTGAAAGAACCAGATGAAGTAGAAATAATAAAACAGATCGCTGTGGAGTTCTTAAAGTGCACTAATCATTCTAATGGCAAAAAAAGTTTCTATTGGCTTAAATTGCAGTCATTTAGACAAAACCACCAACATTCTTCCAAAAAGTCTTTTTTCCTTAAGAAAATAAGAACCTCGAATGTTTGAGAACCTAAACAGCTTAATTTCCAAGAAACAGAAAATTTATAAGAGCCTTTTGAGGCTAACTTCGAAAAGCACCTATTACTTAGTCCTTACTGTATACTACTAAATGTAAGAGCAGGGGGGTGGGGAGGGGGAGGAAGAGTTAGGGTTAGGGTTAAGGTTAAGGTTGGGGTTAGGGTTAGGTTAGGGTAAGGACTAGGGATAGGTTAGGGTTAGAAATCAGATTAGGGTTAGGGTTAGGGTTAGGAATAGGTTAGGGTTAGGGTTAGGAATAGGTTAGGGTTAGGAATAGGTTAGGGTTAGGTTGGAGGGTTAGGTTTAGACGAGCAGTCTCAACTGATTTCAATGGTCATAACAAATGAGTTGATCCACTGAGTTAAACGTTCGCCTTTTCAGGAAAAGGGTGTTACGTTAAGCTGGTTAGGGTGGATAGCTAAAGTTCAGCCAAGGCTTGGGAATAAATAAGGATAAAGGTTACAAACAAGAAGTACGGTTTGTTGAATGAGGGTTAACGTTTGAGGGACTTCTGGGCTGGATACCAAATAACGTTGCGTTACATATCAATTACATCGCCGTACTAAGCGTAGGATTGAATTTCAAAAGACGGGTCAGGAGGTGAGAACTACAGAGATGTAGTTTCAATACAGGCGATTTTCGAAGACTAAACACTGGTCAAGCAAATAGTTTTAAATTAACGTTGTCTTACAAGACGTTTCGCTTCGCTTTCTTCGTGTTTGACCACAGCAGAGCACAGATAATATAAACATTTCAGAGAGTAAATATTCCAGCTCCGAGGTGGCGAGTAAAACCAACGGCCACATCTGAAAGAAAAGGACAAAAGGAAAACCTTGTTTAAAGAAAATTCCTCAACACGTGTTTAAAAAGTAATATATCTCTTCTACATCATTTTCCCTAGATCAGTTTCATCCCGCAATGGTTTTATAATCGCCCGTACCGGCGCATAAAGCAGATTAAAAACATTGTACCGAACATTCCGGACAATCAATCATAAATTGCGCTCGTCGTCGCGACGGTGCTATAGCGCGGGAACTTTAACATGCTTTGAGGAAAAATAGTTACTCTTCCGCGATCCGATCAGCATTTAGCTAGCTCTCAATGCCAACAATAAATTGAAAATGAACGACAATTCAGCCTGTGCAGTAGGACGGCGGCTCTCTTTGGACACAGTAAATTTCCAGAGTCGCTCGACACATGACCAAAAATCAACCTTCGCTATACGAAACCACAGACTTTGATTTGAACTACACTTTCACGACTTTGTAACATAACCTTTCCTGGCAAAAAGCCTGCTACTCACCGTTGTTGCTCGCTTATTCAAAGATCAGCACCTCCGTCGTAGAAACTGAAACACAACAACAGAACAGTCTCACTGTAATAGTCAAATATTAAACATGTTTTTAACCTTTCTCGCAGTGCATTCTGGGAAATCCGTGTTCAACTCGTGCGGGACACATTACATCCTGGCAATAACAACACAATTTATAAGTCTCCAGCAAGGCAAAAATCACAGCCAAAAACTTCGTTGGCCCTCTTTTCTTATGTCCAAACTAACCAATTTGCCCCTTATTGCCTGCTGGAGACTTCTTCACGGTGTGCAGAGCTGGGCAGAGACGTTATACACCATCCACCGGATGGTCTCTCGGATTGTGCCTGAAGCTCGGTTCTTTGAGCAACGAGCGCCCATTTAAGCCTTCCCGGACTTAATGATGTCCCAGGCACTTTGCAAACCGTGGAAATAGAATTTCTTGCCAAACTCGGCTCATATTAGTCCCCGTTTCGCACACGCTCCGATCAAAACCTCTCCACTCACCAAGAGAGCCGTTGAAAGGAGAAAGATACCGCGCAAACTCGAACCTTTCAAAACTAGAACCGGTTCCCCTCGGACAAAAAAAAAACCGGAAGTCCTTTCTAACGCGAGTGAAAAGAAAACAAGAAATAAAATAAATAATAAACTTACTTCTGTTGACTTCCACGCTGCTCCTCCCTGGTTTTCTTTAATGAAAAATATCTATGATAAAAAATGACATTTCATAAAATTAATTTACATATATAATATATCACTGTAATTTTTGGGGAGTTATTATAACTCCAAAAATGGAGTAAAAATTTTAGGTACAGGATAACCCCTTTTTTGGGGTTATTTTAACTCCTAATTTAACTCCGAATTTGGGGTCATTTTTACTCCTGAAAAAGAGTTCTTTTTACTCCCAGTCTTGGAGTTAAAATTACTCCGAAATGGGGTTACTTGTACTCCTTACAGGGGTTGTTTTTACTCTTTTTGGAGTTAATTTAACTCTGAAAGTGGAGTAAAAATTTTAGGTACAGGATAACTCCTTTTTTGGGGTTATTTTAACTCCTCAATATCTGAGGTCACTTTTACTCCTGAAAAAGAGTTCTTTAAACTCCTTTTTGGAGTTAAAATAACTCCACGAAAAATAACTCCACTGTAAGGAGTTAAATTAGCCCCACTAGAGGAGTTATTATAACTCCCTGAAAATTACAGTGTAGGTATTTTAAGAACAGGCTTCTGGAGCCAGGGTGACGTAGCCTCACAATATCACATGTAATTATAGATACAGGTATCTACATTTGCTTGGCTCTTTTTGTAGATTTATCCATGCCGTGGAAGAAATTCTTACTACATGACGGGAGATGCAAATGGCCTTGCCTTCGGAAGCAGTGAGTAAGTATTTTTCTTTTCGGTGTTTTTATTAATGACACTCTTCCTTTCCGAGTGTTGACGAACAATACATATACTATACTATTTTGTTTATGAATTTAATAATGATTTGTAAATTACATCAATAAAATAAAACTTTTTTTAATCGACAGAGCAATGATCTTCAGTCTCTAGTTGAGTTATGTGTTGCTCAACCGAGTCGTTCCCAGGTCACGGGTATGAAAGAACCCTGGGAACGAGGTTATTGATGAGTTCATGTCTTTTATATTAAAACCCTTCTTCGTTTGACTATTTTCAATTTTTTTGTCTAACTGCCGCAAACTCAACCTGCCTTTGTTCTCTGGGCTCTTAAGTTGGTCCAAATTTCTGCCCACTGTGCTAGATGCAACATTTGGATCTGTCTTTTGATTACATTTCAGCTTTACATGACTTCGAAGAACTTTTAGGACCAACAACCCGTTCTTTTATGTTCTATTATCAGAGTAGAAGTACCTTTATTTACCATACATTCATTTGTACACACATAACCTATTACATTACTACAAGGCAGGAGATCAAGCAAGCTCTGTAGAGCTTTAAGACGATCTCCGCTTTATTCTAAGCAGATGTAAAGAATAAATATCATGTTGTGTCATGTTAGAAAAAACATGATGGGGCTATTCACGCGACGAAGTACAGAACTGGCCGACCAGATGTGTAATTTAAACATGAAACATAAGTCTTTTCTCGAAATTTTATTCTGTAATCATAGGACTGATTAACAAAATCGCGGGAGTCCGATTTGTTTAATCACGGGTATGATTATAGACCGAATTGGACGACACGAATCGAAGTTCTGTTACAATTTTATCATAATCATTACAATTTTCGAGAAAACAAATGCATTTTGTTTTTGTGAAAGAGCTTTTAGTACTAATTATCCAAAATTAGGGAAAGTATCACAGAGACATTGTGTAATGTTACAAATTCGTCCATTTTTGCTTTGGTTATTGTGATAAATTCTGCGATTAAAGGTGTCGGATTACAGTCAACTGTCTGATTACAACCCTACACAATGGTGAAAAATAAAGCAGTCAATGCACCGATCAAATTTGAGGAAATTGTGATGGTTATGATTAATAGTGGAATTCTCTTTTTGATCGGGCTCCTCTAGCCGGCCAAAACTGACAAATAGTAAGCGCCCCTAGTAGTATGCTGACGCGACGACACACATAGAACGGCTGCGTTAAAGGCTATGAAGTGCCTTGATCACTATTAAATTTTTGTTACTTTCCAGGAGGAAATTTGGGCTTTGGTTAGACAGTGATCTTTATCATGGTAGAAGCACTGCCTGCGAAACTTATGACAGCGAGATGCTTCCCACCACCGAGGATTTTATTTGTCTTGGCGTTGAAGTCTGGACTTTTGGCTAGATGGAAAGGCAAGATCAGTCTCTGTCAAGTGCCAAGTAGCAATCAGCCCCCCCTGAATCAGCCATATAATATGCGATTTAAGGTGATGTCACACGGGACAATTCGCAACAATGATTTTTAGCGCAACACAGCGTTGCAACATTGTTGCGACATTGATTCAAATGGTTGCAACATTGTTCCAGCATTGCAATGCTGTGTTGCGCAAAAAATAGTCGTTGCGAATCGTCCCGTGTAACATCACCTTTACGCTTTTCAGATAAGGATACAAAGCAGCTGTCATCTTATTATGGGCGTGCCTAAAAAGACTAGGGTATCTTTAGGAAAATCCAAATTCAAAAACAGACCCAATGTTCATTTACTGAAATCCAGGAGAGATTAAGTTTTTAATCTGAAGAATCCACAAACTGAGTGTATTCTTTAGTCTTCTTCGCGGCCATTTTTAGGGTCGTCACCCAACGCTTCTTCCCCCGTTCCCCGTTGCGTAACGACCTTAAAGGACTATGGATTCATCAGAACAAATTTAAATCTGCATTTTTAGGATTCATGACCCAGACTCAGCCAGCGTGCCTTTCTTTCGTCACTAATCCGAAAGAAAGCACACAAGGTGGCGGTTGGCCAACCACGCCTCCCCGGTTCGCGCCATATGCTAAAGGTCCTAAAGATCCATTATCGGATTTTCCGTTTCTTCCGTTGTAACGAATTCAAATAATCTGAGTTCGATAATCTTATCTTTGATTATCCCAAAGAAACGCCCGCTAATAATGTGAGCAATTCAATATCTGTCATGTGTTTGACCATAAAAGGTGCGATCAGGACTGATATAGGTAATATGGTGGATATTATAGATATTATTGTAGATATGATAGCGTAATAGATTAATCAAATTGAACTTATTTGCATCAAATCGCATGATTGAGTAACCCCAGGAGATATGAGATACATCCTGAGGTTTGGCTTGTTGTCTGAAATGCTGAATTACAAAGAAGTGTCAGTAACCGAGTAATCACGCCAGTTGTCGGTGACCACTGTCTTTCAGTTTTGAATAATTGCTAAAGGTAAAGCTTGACATGACGCATAGTGTGACTGTCACGCCAGTAGTATGTGTCGTGGTCTGTTATTCAAAGAAGCGGAATGAAGCTAGACTACTCAGAGTCGCCTATTTTTCGGCAAGATCATCGAGATCGAGCGCTTTGCGTTACGGGCGGCCATCTTGGATGCAATTAGTGTCAAATCTACTTAGGGGGCGGGGAACAGTTTGGGAGAAGGCGACAGAAGGACTGTCCTAACGCCTTTTACCATTCACTAATTAACCAACTCCGCTTTAGATGAAAAACATACCAGACACACCCGCGTGTTTATAAACATCGAAACAATGATTTTGCAATGTCGAAACAACAATGTCGAAGCAATGATTTTGTACAATACAATTTACAGGGACATTGTTCCAAATAAAACAGGCAAACATGCACATTTCAAACATTTTCCCAATCGAAGAGGCAATTTTTCTCGCCTCCTCTGACAATATCTCAAAATCTTCTAAATATCTTTAAAAATAACCGGATATTTGTATATATATATACAAATATAAGAAACTAAGATGGCTGTCTATACCGGTAAGAGCCTGATCTTGACGACTGTGAACAGTCTAGAAACACGCGCAACAGTTAGAAGAGACCTTTGCCACTCATGGAATTATTGGAAATTTTAGTACAAATTATCTTAGTCAACATGAGAAAACAAAAATTAACAACTGAAACTAAGGAGATATTTTAAAGATATTTTTGTTTCATGAAAATTTTTTGGTGGAACAAAAAGATTTCTATTATACAGACACCTATAAGTGTAAAGAATATAATAGCGGAACTCCACACGCGCGCGTGGGCGGAGCCCCATTGCTAAGTAAATCTACCCATCCCAGAAAATTTGGTAATCACGTGACCGTACACCGACCGCCGACCGTCCGTCCGCACCACAGGAGAACCAATGTTTACTCTCACATTTTAGCTAGTTTGGGAGCCCAAGAGAAAACTAATTTCTCATCAATGTTGTGATCAATTGACAGCTGTCAAAACACGGCATCCGCTAACCAGTATCAACTGACCGTAGCGCGGGCTCAAGTGTCGACCCATCAAGGTCGAGTATTTTTTTGAAGTTAACCGCTGACAAATTACCAGTTTGAAATGATCGCAGGCTCAAGTTTATTTTTTCCAAGGATTCATATCAAATTTGTTGTGTTTATGTCACTATGGCCCCGCACTATTAGAATTTTGATTTCAAACTGACTTCGGAAGCGAAAATTCAGCCAGTTTTTTTAAAAGTACAGGCGGGGAAGACCTTATCTTACCATGGTCACGCGTTGGTCACGCTCTCCGTCCAATTTTTATACTCTGATTGGTCAAAATTTGACAGGTGAGTTCATGCGAAAAAATTATGCAGCATCTTGAAAATTGTTTACTTTGACAGCTGAAGCTGTAGAGTTTTGTGTCAACTTGTAATGTTTTTAACTGTCTTTTTCTTCTGGATGTACAAAATGAAATACAGCTGCTATCAAGAGTCTTCTGTTATTCATGGCTGGTTTGTTTACTGGGTTTTTGGTTGAGGAACGCGTCGCTTGTCAAAATTTGGTAATTCGATTTCGGATGGCATCGTTTTCGTTTTTCACCTTGCTTAATGCGTAAGAGGGTTTAAAAGTCTCAAGCAACTGTGGCCTTCCTTGATAGCTTTCAGGAACTGAATCTCGAATGGTAAGCCTGAGTAACTATTGTATTTGATGTTTGTTTTTGTTATATCTAATTTCATGAAGTCTTGCACATTCACGCTGACAGTTTATGCGGCAAGTTTATGCACGTTTGTAGCCGTAGTTTGAGTCAATGATCTGACCTAGTATCAGGTTTGAACGGTTTGATATAAGCTTACAGAACTTTAAAAAGCCTTCAGATATATTTGCACACCACAGATACCACAGATAGAAAGAAAACGTTCCGAAGAATATTTAGTTATAAATTTGGCTGTAGAAGGAAAACTTTGAGCGATTTTCTTGCTTCGAGGAGTTCACCTTGGAAAACAGTAAACACCCGCGCCGGGAAGCCGACTTATAAAGCTTCACGCCGAGACTCAGGATTTTTAGAGACACTTTAATACTTGTCTTCATGAATAAAAATTGTTATCTCTGTAAATGTTTCACCGAATTATATTTCTTTTTTTGATTGTTAGTAGTCTCTCTTGCAATTTTAATCGCTTGTCTGTGCCGTTTGTTTTCATCGTTCATGAACATCGCTTGCAGGAGTACTCAAAAATGTCGCGCGTATCAAACGCTTTATAGATTACACATCGTTATAACTGAAACCATTAAATAACAAAAAAAAAAAAAATAATAAATTCGCTATTATGTTGAAGCTTAACTCTATTAAAGTTCATTCAAACACTCGACCACACTGACGGCTCTCACTATGGAAACGAGAACCGGCTGGCCATTTGGGTGATTTTGGAAATTTTTGAACAGTTTCGCTTTACGATTGATCGTCCCGAACATTGACTGATATTGAATATTTGTCTTGAAAAATTGTGAAATACTGCATTCTGTCCGAGGTCTGTATGATAAATAGTACTGTTTCATCTCAAATGTGATGTATAAAAACAGGAGCCCATCTCCTGATAAAATTTATAAAAGGTTGGTTTAAACACCCCCAGATTTGTTGGCAAGAATTTGTAAAGTAAACCTGTCGAACGCAAAAAAATTCGGCGTGATTTGTTTTCCAAGAATTTGTTTTCTAGGCCTAATCTACTGTGATCTTGAATGTGATTGAAGATGTTTGCTATTTTTTGGGTGTACATATAAGGTTATCAGTTCGATGTAAAATGTCTCACTCTAAAATAACTTAGCCTTTCCCTCAAAAGTCATATGAATTCAAAGTAGACAGACTGCAAATCATCTTAGTTGCTAAAAAATGATTTGTGGATTAAAAGTTTATTTTTTGATTTAAATTATAAATCTATTAATTGGAGCTTCGCTTTTAGCCCTGGCTAAATCTATATATTATATTTATACAGCATTTGTAAAGTATTAGTTTGGATGAATATTAAGTATAATTAAGAATGACTAAACGTGTGGTTTAGTATAAATGTCCATCGTTTGAGAAGATAAATTTATGTATTGCGAACCTATATATGTTGTGTTCGAATAAATTACAACTGTAGATCATTTCTAGAAGGTTAAGAAGCGTAGCGTGTTGTTTGTCCATGTTGATTAAAATGTCATTTTTAATTTTGAGTGGGGCGGTTTGGTTAGGACGATATCCCGACTGAAGCGTAGGCAAGAGATTATTCTTAACCAAATGAGACTGAAGCTGATTCGAAACTGCTCGTTCAACTAACTTAGAAACAAATTGCCGATTACTTAGAGGGCGAATGTTCTCGAAAGTAAGGTCAGTACTGACAGAACTACACTTCTGTAAACAGTAGGTTGAGTTTATACCGGCACCCCAGCACCCCTGAACCCCAATTTTCTATCGGACCTTTAATAATTATTCCTCGAGTCCGAATGGCCTCTGAGTCAATAGCCCATGAGACCGAAGAGGCTATTTACTCAGAGGCCACAGGGCGAGAGGAATAATTGTTTTAGTAAAATTCAACTACAGTGAAACCTCTCTTAAGCGGAAACCTTCGGGACCTTCCCAAGAGTCCGCTTAATATAGGTTGTAAAAATTGCGCAATGTTTGTTAATGATCAACATTCAACGGTTACTCCGTACTGTGATAAAGTTGCATGTTGTTAAAGAAGCTATCCAGAGTTCAAGTTCATTACCTTTCATTACCAACTTTAATTTTTTTGTAAATGCAAAAACATTAACTGACTTCAGTACCTATTTCAAGGACGTAATCCAATACTACTATTGTCAATTCAGTCCGTTGTCCGTTTAATGGAGGTTTTTAACAATAGAAATTTGCCAAATACAACTTATTTTAGTGTCCGCGTCCGCTTAATAGAGGTGTCCGCTGAAT